TGTGAGTATCAACAAAAAAAAAAATAGACACTTAACAGGATCTAATGATGTACAACACTTATATGTAAGATCAAAATCAACAGAGTAATTTGAGTCTCTTTTGCACTGATAAGGAAAAAAGTGAGCTCGTCGCGCCGGCACGATAGCCGACCCCGGAGGGTTAACACCACTTAGTAACCACATAGCAACACTCTAGCAACCACCCTAGTAACTTATTAAAAATTTCTTCGAACAACTTAGCATCTGTGTACTGTAGCAATGCCCTGGCAACATGTTTGCATGAAAAAGCATCACCCACATCTTCTCCTGAAGATGTACAATTTTGTTACATCCAATATTTGCTTTACGCTGATGCATGTTGTCGAAATTTGGTGTATGGATAAAAATAGGCCAATATTATAACGAGAAAACATCTTTGTGGTTTACTCGTTCTGTACAAGTGAATTGCTCTTTATGTTGAAAGTTTGTCAGGTTTGTGTAATGAATGCAGAAAGCAGCTGATCAGTGCTATGTCATGCTGTGATCGGGCACAGCAATGCAAATCAATCATGCTGTGTAATTTAGGTAACAGTGATGAATGGAATTTAGATGGTTGTGATGACTGCCACATAGGCCTGTATGTAATATTGGAGCTGAAGTGTAATGAATATGTATGTGAATGAGGGGACGTTGTAGAGAGTTTAGCAGAGGAACATTATTCTCCATGAGTTGGAATGTGGCAATGTTGGGATGCAATAGCCTAGCTTACTTATAAAACTACGCTACAGCGATTGAAACAGATGATGAGACTGTGGTACTTATAGGGATGTACTGATGCAGCCATTAACTGATACTGAAAGCCCATAATAATATATTATATTATATTATATTATATTATATTATATTATATTATATTATATTCCCTTTAAGAATGTAAATAGATTTGTTTATATAGTCATAATGATTCCTAATGACTTAATGAAAGTTATTATAAAGTCCTACCTTTTTCAAAATAATCAACACCAAACTTTTCAATAACTGTCCCTCTTAACAATTAATTTAAAGCAGCTTATGCATTTTCTATTACGAAAACTGTAATTCAAACATTTGGCAATCTAGAGATGTCCACATAAAAATAATTTGCTCGTCGTCTCAGACTTCTGGTGTCAGCTGTCAGGATCAAGGTACAACATTAAAACCCTCCTTGTTCATCTGTAACGCTTTCTTCCACTGAGCATTCATGTACTTGTGTATAGCAGCCTAAGGCAAAGAACGTGCTAAGAACGACGTGCGTTTGCCGAAGGCTGAACTGCAAAGTGGGGACGTCAAGTTCGTGTTTATTTGCTGTGTCATTTAAACATTATAATCAGGAAGACTTGGATTCTGAATTTTTATGTAAATTACACGTAAGCCGATTACAAGCCAGGCAGTGGCAGTGCAAACATTATTTATTTTATGGACCTTCAATTTTCTGAGCAGATGAGATAAAGGCAGAATAATATTATGACGGTAATCATCATGCTGCGTTATTATGATATTACAAAGATGTGTCTCATGTCACACAAGGCAAATGACTCTCTACCCCGTGTTTCTCTCTCTTAAAACCAATGCCTGTCACATGATGAGTTGGTCCAGCAGAAACAGTATGTTGCACTTCCCCTCATATAAAAGTATTTTACAAAACATTAAAATGCTTCACTGAATTAATTTTCAACATGGTTTCAGTGAAGCATATTAATGTTTTTGAGTCCCCCTTAATTTATTTTTGAACAAATTAATACTTTTATTTAGCAACGAAACAGTGAATTGATCATAAGTGACAGTAAAGACTTTTACTGTACATTGTTATAAAATATTTATATTTGAAATAAATGCTGTTCTTTTGATCGTTCTATTCATCAGAGTACTGAAAAGATCATGGTTTCCTCAAAAATATTAAGCAGCACAACTTCTTTCAACATTGATAATAATAATAATAATATTAAGAAATGTTTCCTGAGCACGGAATAAGCATATTAGAATGATTTCTGAAGGATCATGTGACACTGAAGAGGAGAGAAAAGTAATAATGTTTCACAATATTGCTGTGTTTACTGTATTTTTTTATCAAATAAATGCAGCATTGATGAGCATGAGACTTTTTTCAAAAACAGTAGTGAAATCAGTGCATTTTTGCACAAAGTTAAAATGTTTAAGAACTACATCAAAGCTTCTAATGAAATTACCACACATATTCATACAGTAGTTTAATAATTTATAGGAAAACCCTAAAAAACTTTTTCTATATCAAGGTGCTTTAGTTTTAGTGCTTCTACAGCAGCTTGACTAAATTGGGTACATGTAGAGGGAGAAAATTCATTTCCCTTTTCCTTTTCTCTCCTCTCGTCGGCACTTCACTCCATCAGCTTCCCTTTCATCCTTAAGTCATTTTCCCTTTCTCTTTCTCACTCTGTGAATGTCTGCACTCTCCATCTCCACCTCGCCTCCCCTCCGCAGCATCAGGAAAAAATCCAAGATCCGAAATGGAGCAACAGTTGTATTGTCACCTAAAGCTTTTTTTGTTCCCTTTTTACCTGATTTATTTTCCTTTTTTTCTCTGAATGACAGAGCAGGCCTAGGATAACACAGAGTGAAAATCAGTGCCTAGAGACTGTATACTGAGTGATAGAGCGAACGAGGGAGAGAGAGAGAGTGAAAGTTTATAAGGCGCGGTTTTGGAGAAATGTAAGAAAGAAGCGAGGGAATCTATGGTGACCAGCTGCAAGAGAGGAGATAGCAGAGAGAGGCTTTTAATTCCCAATCCCTACAGAGCCTTTGAAAATTACCAATCTTCTTATCACAGACGCAGGGCTGCTTATGCAAATTGTTGTGGAGTGGAACGTTTAAACGGAAAATTACTCGACAGCAGTTTTTTGTTTTTTTTGCCTTCTTCCCTCCCTCCCCCCCCCCCCCCCCCCCCCACATGCACACTTCCACATAGAAAGCCTGTTTCCAGTCTCAGATAAGAAGATGAATTGCTCTTCGCGCTTTGAAGCACGTCAGGATTTAAAGACTCCAGCCTAGCTGTGGTCTACAACTGGTGCTCATTCTGGCTTTGTCAATAAAAAAAAGGAAGGTATTTCAAAACAACACAGAATCTGCGCTCAGTCCGCGTAATCGAAAAAAAAAAACATTTATTGAAACGCACTCAGCAAGCAAATTCTATTCACTGTTGTTTGTTTTTCCCACACTTGTTGGTTGCATTGGTTCTGAACTGGATCTCAGACATGACAAAGCAATAGATACGCAGGGAGGGCGGGAGGGGGTTCCAGTCTTAAACGTTGAAAGTCCAAATGACACTTTCGGCAGTTTTCCAAAATTCTTTTGAAAACAGAGCAGGGCTTCCTCCCACCGCGGCGTCTTATCAGAGCTGAAGAGCATCAGAGAGCCAGATGGGTTTTGCGAACGCTGTTCAGTCAGAACTCGAGCGCGGTGGAGAATGCGGCTCTCTCATGCTTGTCCAACCGCTCTTGACTTTAGGCCACAATTCAATTCTGTCTTTGAGAAATCATTTTCAAAGCATGTCTCTGTATTGAGGAGAGCGCCTATAGAGGTCAACTGATGGCAGCGCCTTCATTTTGTATTGGGCTATTGCGTCGGTGGCGAGAAACTGTTTGGAAAATGATGGTGTAATTTTGTCCTTTTATTCCATGCAGGTCCTTTTGTACCTAGACTGGCCAGTTGTACTGGATAATGACTGTTGATTTATTGATTTTAACAGTGGTGTGCGACTGAGAAAGAATTTATTTTATGGATTTTTTTTTTTTTTTTGCAAATCTATGTGATATTACAGAATCTTTCTTTCTTTCTGTTGTTATTAGTCTATTAAGAGTAGCTGGATGGTATCTGAATGCATTTTCAGTTACTGTGTCCATCATCACAAGACGCTTTAATTTAACGAGTATTTTCTATATCTTGAGAGTACACTGAAAATAAAATGGTGTAGAAACATGTTTCACATGTTACTTAAAACAGCTTGAAATTATGATGTAGACAAACTTTAGAAACTGTAAAAAAAATAGTATTTTCTAGTAAAACATACTCCAGTAGTCTTTGTTTTATTTACAACTTGTTTTACAGTCTAGTTTTTTTTATGCCATCTTTGCATAATTTACTCACCCTCGTGTTGTTTTAAAACTTGTGTGCATTTCTTTCTTCTGTGGAGCACAATATAGCAGAACACTGACACAGCATTATGCTGTAATGAAAGTGAATGGTGACCAGGGGCTTTCAAGCTCGAAAAAATTATAAAAACAAACACACAAATGCTATGCTAAACGTCTCCACTGCAGTTCACAACTCAATAAATGTAAATATTTGCATATTCAAGTGTAGAAATAAGAATTGAGAGCTAAAGCAACAGGAAAGATTTGTAAGCAATGCATGCATGGCTTCAGAAGACCTGGAATATAATGCATGTTGTTGAATGGAATACTTTTATAGTGCTATAGACCTTATGTAGCCCCGCCCCTTTTCAGCGCTGCGCTTGTTGTCTTTTGTCTTCTGGTTTGTATTTCCACAGCGATCTTAAGTATTTATGAATGAACTGCCCGTTTTAAAATCTTCCCGGTCTACTGACATATGTTAAGACATCTGCTTTAAACATTACAATGCTCGTGATAACTTTCGTTAACTCTAGTAAATCCACTTCACCAGCTAATTACTCTTCGACAGCGATGCCATAGAAATATACAGAGCTACTGCTAAAACTGAAGTTCAAAGACAAAATTCTAAAGATGACTGTGCACTTGTTTCTCTGGCGCATAAGGTCTATAGGGCTTTATAGAGCATGGTCATTGGTCACCATTCACATCGTATGGAAAACATCCTGCAAACTATTTTTGTGTTAAACTGGGCAAGTTAAAAAGGTTTATAATGACATGGAAATGAGTAAATCATAACGAATTTCATTTTTGGGTGAACTATGATTAATCGAACATAACATCTCAAACTTTTTTCTTCTTTTATTCTGTCTTCCACAGAGGCAGCTAAGGAGGAGGAAGTGTTATCTGCTAATCGCCGGAGTGCTGCTTCTTACTTTGCTTATCATCATTATTGCAGTTTCAGCCAGAAAATGAGAGCAAGACCACTGGTAAGCAATGTCTGTTGTGCCCAGTCTGTAATATAAACAACACCATTAAAAAAAGAAAGTGAGAGAGGATACAATAGGGACAGCACAAACATTAATTATATATATATATATATATATATATATATATATATATATATATATGTGTGTGTGTGTGTGTGTGTGTGTGTGTGTGTATAACATATAATACATACAGTCAAAGACCACTGAAGGCGAACAGAGTTGAACCCAAGTGCAGTGTTTATTAAATCCCAACATGAACAGATACAAAGTAAACAAAGACCAAAGACTTGGCTTGACTTGATCCATGAACTAAACTTGAGCATGAAACAAAACTCACCATCAGCGGTTACAGGAAACCAACAAAGCTAGACAAGAGACAATGGTGACAAGAGACCATGGTAACATGAGGGCTACATATACACAAAGACTAATGACTACATGAACGACTAAACAAACAGTGAACCAATCAAAACGTGACACAAAACAAGGAACAAATCTGAACATGACACGTTCAGCAAAAGGGCCACATGATGGGATAAAGGAATTACATGACAAACAGGAACATGACAATGAGAATTATAGAAATCAAAGACATGAAAACATAAATTAAACAAAACAGACGTGACTATAGCATAGTATTTATTATATTAGCCTAAAGTAGCAATTTAAGAAAAAAACTTGCTTCCTCATTTCCTCATTAATTTTGACTGTAGCAAGTCATTTAGAAATCTGTTGTCATCACTGAATACTAGTAAAATATCCAATGCCTCCAGCTGCCACTTGTTTAAAACTTTTAAAGACGATCATCTCCATGAAAAAAAAAAAGGTTTCAAAACAATCTTGCTTACCTAATTGTTTCTTGACATTTGTGTGACCTGAACCGGCGTATCAGGACGCTATTTTTCACCGCGAAAAGCCAATACGTGAAAGCACTTCAGACTAATATTTCACTCATGGGCAAGCCTCTCTGAGGAGACTGGGATTTTATCAGTTAGATGGATTACCTCCTCATTCATCTCTGAAAGGCCAACTGACAATTACACTCTTCTGTTATTCATTTATCCTCACAATCTACTTTTATTCGTTCATTGACTCATTCATTAGTTCATTGGTTTTTCTCATTCATCTATCTGTATGAAGAGGAAGAGTGTTGGAAACTGGGTGAGGACTGACTCCATTTCCATGATATGTTTATCTGTGTGTTCGATCTCTCACGGCCTCCCTCGGGGAGAAGAGGCTGAGTGACAGCCTGGACTCTCTTTCGTATCGATCCGTACCCTGTCCGCTCTCCCGCTTTTCCTCTGGCAACACGCACACACCTCCTTTTATGTGGCGTGTGTGAAACTCAAAGTAGATAGCATCTTTAATTAAGTAGCTCTTAACTCGCATTTGTGAAATAGAGTGAAACACTGAGCATAAGTTGTTTGAACTTTAGTGCTAAGATCTCATCTTTTACCAAGCGCTTGAGCAAATAAGAACAGTTGAGAGATTTTGTCACTAAAAACATCACTCAACTCAAGCATGCTTGGCCATATGCACTGTTCACAAATTGAGAACTCGTAAGTACTAATTGATGTAGCAATTTCAGTATTCCAACACTCCTGTTGTTTTGACCTACTACTCATTTATGCTGTTATTATGTCTTTTAAAATTCAAATATTTTTTTTTTAGAAGAAACTGTAAGTGGTGCTTTTGCTGTCATGTTATGTGGTTGCTATGGTGTTCTGGGTGTGTTTTTTAGGTTGCTAGGTGGTTGACGACTGGCTCAATTCAGAAGAGTACCCACAGTATTGATTTCTGTATGGCTTGGGTCCCATTTTTGAATAGGTAATATGATTTTGATAGGGAAGTTCACACCACAACTGTGATGATAATGACAAAGGAACAATATTACAGAACGATTTTTTTTTTCAGCTTATGAATACTATAAAATCCTGCTTGAAAGAGCTTAAGCATATAATATAGATAGATAGATAGATAGATAGATAGATAGATAGATAGATAGATAGATAGATAGATAGATAGATAGATAGATAGATAGATAGATAGATAGATAGATAGATAGATAGATAGATAGATAGATTTGAAACAATCTGCTTTGTATAAAGGGCTATATAAATCAAGGTGACTTAGACACGTGTATAAATATCTATATCAATAGACTTCAGCAGATGATTCTGCTAAACTAAAACAATACAAGACAAAGGCATTAGCTAATATGTAAAAATAAAATATAGTAAAAGTAAAAATATTAAAAAGTAACAGTAAAACCCTGTGATATTGAGTTAATGCATATAAAAAAATAAAAATAAACACATTCTCACCTGTGAAAGGTTATCCCGTTTCTCTGTGAATTTAAATCTTGGCGGTTTCACAACCAGAATCTGCGAAAGTTTGTAGTGTTACGGTGAGTGATGGCACACTGTCCGTTCCAAGATGGTGGGCTCGCCGTCTGAGCAGTCAAATGTGGAATATATGTATAAATTGAAATGGTCTATGGAGTTGACAAGGAAGGCATGAGGGTTCTTCACTTTTCAATAAATAATCATGTGCAAATCTTGAACAACCTAAACGTCACCTATTAAAAACAACTTGATCATACCTAGATTTGAAATCACTAAAAAGGATTTATATCTTATGAAATTGTCCTTATGAAATTTTTAGGGTTTCATCCAAAGCTGCACTGTTTGATATAGTGCCATAAAAGACTATAAGCTCAGGAGAACTTGCCAGCTTGTGTGCTAGGAACCGACTCCAAAAGCTGTATAGATTTATTGAGAATTAACAGCTCTGAATCTATGTAAACACGGGCCATTCGGTTCTGGTGAGACTTTGTTTTTTCATGCACTGCACAGTTTGTGATTATCTCTTTCTACATTTTCTACGTTTAATTATCCCTGGTTGCCAAACACTAAAAAAGTACTCCTTAGATCCCCCTTAACTGTTTTTTTCCCCGAACTTTTTATTTACTTATCGAATTTTTCTCTTATTTTTCTAAAAGGTACATATTTTTTATTTTATTTTTTTGCTTTATTTATCTGTTAACTGTTATTTATTTATGCAAATTATCTGGTGTGTTTTTTTTATTATTAATTATTAATTAAATTAGTTAGTTAGTTAGTTAGTTAGTTGGTTCCCTCAACAGAATCAGTGGCCGGTTGCATAAACTTCTTAAGGTTCACATGAGGTGAGATAAATGTTAATGCCAGGTGTAAATATGATTTTGTGATCTAATTACCCAAAATTTATGTTAATACCAGGGGCCCTATCTTGCACCCGGCGCAAATGACTTTGTACACTGACGCATGTATCATTCCTATTTTGCACCCGCGCAAAGCGGGCTTTTCCCTCCACAGACGCACGTCGGTAAACTAGGAAATGAACTTGCGCTCCCCGGGGCGGTTCAGCGCAAAGAGGAGGCGTGTTCCGGCGCAAATGTTCCCTAGTGCTATTTTGCAGTTCCAGAAAACAATTCCGCCACTGACCAGAAAAAACCTAGTCTAAAGTCAGTGGCGCGTTGCGCGTTGTTCTTAATGCTATTTTAAGCGTGCATGCTTGGCCATAATGTAGCGGGTGCACAACGCGCATACACTTTGATTCTCTCATCAACACAGATGCAGCAGTTTTTATTTTTGCAAATCATACATTATAACAAGGAAAAATATTAACACATGAGGGAAATCATTGTGGTGTCCATGAAGATGTAAAAGAATGTAGGCCTAAATCTAGCTTACACATTTACCCAAATTTTTCAGGCTAATTGTAGTAATGACGGATCAGACCTGTTTGCCCTTATATACACATATGTATATAAGGACATCTGACAAATTTGTTTGTCCGTCAAGAACCAGGAAAAAAAAAATCTCCCATCCCCATACAACGTCACTTCTCTGTCTTTCACTGCCCTGACAAGAACGTCTGCCTCCTCGGCTGTGAACCGCTCCTGGCGCGCGCCTGGTAAATCCGCCATAATAATAACAATCCGCCATGCAACATGCGCACCTGCTCTTAAAGGGTATGTTGGATGGCGCTCTGATTGGTTTATTTCACGTTACGCCCAAACCACACCTATGAATAATGAAGCTATTTCAGACCAACCCCTTTTAAACTTGCATCGGGCGCAAGAGTCATTTATCCCGCCGGTAAAATAGCAACAGCGCCCAAGACCCGCCCACAAAGTTACTTGCGCTTCGCGCTTGATACTTGCGTTTCAGATCGTTAAAATAGGGCCCCAGGTGTTCACATGGCCTTAGATGCTTAGAAAAAGTTAGAAGTGACAAATCTGAGGGGTTAATAAGTGAGAACCTTCACAAAAGCAAAGGAATAAAAAGGAGCACAGGATTATCGGAAATTTGTTGGACTGATGTTGTTGGAAACAGACAGGGTGGCAGAGGGAAGAGCGCAGTGCATTATATATCAGTTTAATGATTCAGCAATGACAGAAATAACCAGAGAGCTGCTTTGCCTCTCAAATCAATAGCCCTGCACTTTATAGTGCTCTAAATAATGCAATAACTGCTCCTTGACACTTATTCCTGCGAGTTGTGTTGCCAGTGCTGCCCTCACATCTTGTTTACAGACTCATTTGGGTGAAAGGGATCTTTCAATATGCATGTCAGCGCCATGAACTAACTACAGCCGTCCTGTCAACTCTGAGCTGTTGAAATTGAGATCAATTTGAGAGCGGCCCCAACTCATTTAGTTACCAATTGCTTAAAATGAACCCTCAACAGCAGACAACAGACTATTACTGCGTTTTAATGTTGTGACTGTTATGCATTATCTTATAGAAGCATTTAAATCCCCATCTGTCAGCCGGTTTGACAAGGGACGTGAGAATCTTAAAGCATTTTCCGACCCCATGGTGTCTGGACCCCTGAAGAGCATCACCTCTTATCTCATGTCAGCAAATGTCTAGATAGAATGTTATTTTTGGTGGGTGAAATTTCGATTTCGTTTAGTGAATTGGCACATTTGTTGTTATGCTGGTGGCTGAGGGA